GCTACTAGGAACAAAGGGCATCGCTACTAGGAGCAAGAAGCTACTAGTAGCTCCTGGCATTACTAGTAGGACCGGAACACGAAGCTACAAGAAGCAAGGACACACTTCACCTTTTCTCGCGCTTCACCTCTTCCCCACTTTTTCAGGCGTGCACCGGGTGGGTATGGCTTTATTGAAGTGGTGGAGGACGCCCTGGGCGGTTGGCATGACGAGCGCAGAAGGGCCGGGCTCATTTTAAGACTTTATCATCCAATGGTGGCATGATGCGACATGCTTGGAATATGATGTATTTCATCCAGATCATGACCAGTCAAGTTGAAGGCTCCACTTCGATTTCATTGACTCTTCTTTATTCTATGCACTAGCACATGCGGCAGCACGTTGACATAAGAATGAGCCTTGATAAACTCACAGCACAACCACAGCCGCTAAGATGGACATATTGCGGCGGACATCCTGCGCTGGCTTTTTCCCAAGCTATCTGGCCTACTCAAGGCTGATGTGAATGATGCTCAAAAAGATGCCTTGCTGATGATTCCTGTATGCCTAAATTTGATCCACTAGTCCGACAATATTTTTGCGACATTTGTTTGTTTTGTTTTGGTATCACGGTATCACTGACTCATTTTGTTCATACTATGAATTTCTATTTAACTAGACTATAGATGACAATAGCAGAAAGTTTAGCGTTATTTGGTCAGCTCAAGCCAAGGTGATTCCTCTAGTGGAGCTGCAATAAGCCGCTCCCAAGCACCTTCGTTGTTATTGATCGTGATAGATCCTGCACAGTGCCAGGATGCTTCTGTCAGTGAAAAACCTGAGAAGAAGTCTGCAACCCAGCAGTTTCCGTGGTTATCCTGTTCATCCTTAATCCTTAGTCCTTACAGACCACATTGCAATGTTCAAGATGCTCGCTTGTGCTTGATAAGCTCAGATTTGTCCTGCGCACGATCAAATCAGGCAAGAGCATGCTGCATATCAATCTGTTAGCTGACTGAGGCGCTCAACAACAAAGAAGCCACAAGCAGCAGGCATCCCCGACCGGGCACTTTTCTAGCTTTCTCATTTGTTGGTAAATTGTATAATCTATCGATGCTTTCTTATTTGTTGGTATGTATACGCCGCACTAATAGTATTGTCTTTGCTTTGGTTCCTACGCATGTGAGAGTGTATATAATAAACGCCTGTTGGCAAAAAGACAATCAGAAATGCTGGGGTGGAATCTGACAGAATATAGCACATTCACGTATTACCATCTTCCTAACATCTACTCCAGAATGACCACAGTTCACTGCAAATAGGATAAGCCATTAAGTTCATTAAGCTTCAGCTGAGTATGCCAAATCATGTTTGGCCCTTCGTGGGTTGAAGCATTTCATGCTACAATCAGTCCGTTTTCTTTCCTGCTTTGCCAGGAATTTCAAAGCGTCGTAAGGTCGAAGGCCGGCAGTCGAGCCACCACTTCGTAATGGGAGGAGGAGCTACTAGTAGCTTCTTGTTCCTAGTAGCGATGCCCTTTGCTACTACTAGTGATACCCTTTGTTACTAGTAGTAATGCCGAAGCAAGGCGAAGCAAGGCGATCCTATGCGATCTCTCACATCTATGCGACACTTGCGCGGCCTTTCACACATCATGGCAGACCCAGATTGCTAGCTAGTAGCAAGTGCATCGCTACTAGTAACAGGTGCCTTACTAGTAGTAACAAGAAGCTACTAGTAACAAAGGACATCGCTACGAACGGAGCAAGGACGCTACAAACTCCAGCAAGAAGCTATTAGTAGCAAACATGACACGTGTTGGACCACCTTAGTGTGACGAAGGTGCCTTTAGTTCCTTTTACTGGTAGGTCCACCGGTCTCCGAAGCAGATGCTGGCGCAACACCAAGCACCTCAGAAGGTGCGGCTGGGGCGGTTGGTGTTGCCATCCAGATTGCAAATGGATACAGATTGCCATACAGAGTAGTGCCATTTAGTGCCCTACAAGCACTTTGTGTCCTTTTTGTCGGGGTTTGCTTGTACGTATCTCTGTATGTATAAAATGTTATATATATATATATATTTGTTTTTCCAGGGTCTTGCTCTCAAACCAGTTTAATCGGATAACTCGACGTGTCTAGATAAGTTTGGATAGGCCTTGCCCATCTTCCAACCCTGAACCCCCAAACCTCACAGCCCCCCAAAATACACAACAACACCAAAACCAATCAGAACAACCAAGCACAAACAACTCATCAATATCAATCCGAAAACAATTTCAATGTTTCAACAAGACTTGTCTTGTTGAAAAATTGTCCGCCTAAATTTTTGAAACAACAATCATAAAACAACTACCCAAAAATCAGAACGACAGCTCACCACAAACCCAACCAAAAAAAATCTAGCAGCATAACCTTGCCCCACTGTAGTTCATCCCCAAAAATTGCGTTATAATTTATGTGATAGATTTGTGGGGCAAAGTTAGGTTGATAGAAAAACATAAGTTCATTCTTGTTGTTTTAAGTAGTTCTGATGGTATTGTGATTTTTGTGTGTTTTTCTTATGTCCTAGTATTTACCACAACTACATAAATGCTTTTCAGATAGAATATCGTTTCTATTTTCATAAGTCCTTCTCGCCCATTCCTTTACCTTTTCTGGGTGTAGTTCCTTATATAATTTTTCCCTGAAAGCAATGTAAGCATTATCTCTTCTGCATTCCTGTGATGTTCTACCTGCTATGACTTTATTAACACAATTGGTGCTTTTAATGTGTATGCCCTCTTCTCTTTCTAGTTCTTCACGGCCATTGCAGGGATAGTCTTTAATTAGTTCAATTTTGCAATTTTCAACACCAAACTCATCAAATAATCAATATGACCTAGTCTGGTCTTCCTTCCCTTCTGCAAATTCTTTTATATGTGCTTCTGTGTCGTTCAAATCTTTGTTTAATCTTCAGTTGTGCTTCCAATATAGCATGTATTGTAGCCTATATCAGTATATAATTTTGTTGATTTTACCGTTTTCATACCTACATATTCATGCCAATATATACCATATGAATATTAGGATTTCTTTAGATAAGTTTTTAGATATTACTACAGTATTTACAACTGCAACTGCATCTACAGCAGTAAAGTATTATATTATCCAGTGCATGGGTATATTCATTATTTACTCTTTGGGCTGTTAGGTTTGTTGTTATATTGCCGTTTTTTGTTGTATGAAACCCACACCCACAGTAATTACATTGGTTAGTTATATTATCAAAAAACCACTGGACATTTACATAGCATTCCTTTGGTATTTTCCTTTTTGCTTTTCTGTTCTGTTGCTTGTAATTTCAATTGTTCTTTCATTAAAAAAACTGTTCATACATTTATAATTGAACTCATCATTTACATCATCACTTTTTTATAAAACTTTACCTTGTTTAAATCTCTGGCTCTTGTAATTGCTGTCCATAAGAATTCCCTATAATTTCTAATGTCAAAATTGTTATAATAAAGTCTCCATCTATACAACTGCCTTGGGCTGAATGGCAGGTAGTGCAATGGGCGAAGATGAAATTGCCCCTTACCTTCTTAATCTGAATGGATTGAGGTATTGTATAGTTACTTAGTATGTTTCAATGTCATAATCCCATCCTTTCCAATATTGACGACAATTTCATATTTAAAATTTACATTAAATATTGATGTAGGGGTTTTTGTATATTCTCTACATATCAAAAATTCCCCCACTTCATATTCATTTTTCCTATTTTCCAGTTTCCTAATTTCACTTGCTACATTCTTACAGGTGTCATTTAAATAGGCAATATTATGCTTTGAACCACTTATGCTAGTAGTATAGTAGTATATCTTAAATATTTTTCAATTACTTTCTTGAAAGACAGTTTATTTACCAGCTTGTCAAG